GTCCCTTCAGCTGCAGTGTGAACAATAGCACACTTTGTTGGATGCTCTCAGCAAGTCCCTCATTAAAACAGTAGCACCAAATGAGATCTTATTTTCCTAATATTTGTAGACTACAATGCAAGAAGGAAAATATTTGAGATTTTCTGTATTCCTGAAGAATAAGTTAAAAAAACAACAACAAAACAGTGAAAGCTTCTCCCCAGGTTATATGCTACACCTCTTTCATTTACAAGTATTTTACTACTGAAATTGAATATCAATGTTATTTAAATTTTTTAAAAATTGCCCACTAGATGGCTGTAATTGTTATGGCCATGCTTAATTTTTGGTATCAAATTCCCATATTTAAAAAAATCCGTTCTTCCTTTGTGCTGATCTTCAGCACATGCTCTCAATCTCCAAGACTGCCTTTGTAAAAATAGGATCCTCACCTTGGAAATTTCAGCTGTTTATAGGAAATTTAGTTGTTCAAAATGGCCACTGCAATGGGCTTGTATAACATGTAAGGCACAGAAATCCACTGCCACTTTGAAGGATAAAGTGGGAATTCATTTTTCATTATTGAAAGAAATACTTTTTTTCTGCTATTATAAGGAATGATCAAAGACTCAGAGTGCTTTGGAAAGAGTTTCCAATAGTGTGGCATTTAATGCGAGCAGCTTGTGATTACTGTTGGAGCACAAAAACGTTGTAAATCTGATGAAGGAGAGCCCAGAAGACAGGATTGAGTATCTCCTCTGTCCTAGATTCAGCAGAGGAGCTGATGTGAAAAAGAAGCGGGATCTGCTGGAAGGAAAGCTCAAGTGATGTATCACAGGAAATAAAATTTCCCTGCTGTTGGCATGGGCTGTAGTCCAGGACCAGCAGTGCGTCTGGGTAGAGGATTTGCAAAGAGTTTGCTGGCTGTGGTTCTTCTTGCAGTTTTCCTGAAGATCCACCCAAAGGGACTAGCCTCAGGTGCAGAGGGAGACTTCCCCCATTCAGCCAGTGAGCAGGGCACTGATGCTTCCTCTGAACAGAAATGCCTGAATATAAACATCTACATATCTTTGGCAGCTCTTGATTGCAACATATGAAAAGGGAACTGCCTGTCTCCAAGTTTTAAGCAGCATGCAAAGACATTTGTAGGAATTCTCCGCGAAGCATGAGCTAGTACAGAATCACCGAGGCATTGCTGCAGACCCTTGGGCATGGTGCATGGTCCTGCCAGCAGCACATAAATCTGCCTTTAATGGGAATTAATTCATTTCCGTTGAGGAGTTTGCCCACCAGTTTAGCACTGCACCAAAGGGGTCATAAGGGGCCATCAGGTTTCATAAGACTTAAGTGCAACTTCATTAAGTGTCTTTGAAAGACGGTTTGTACATCAGGAGTAAGAACAGTTCAGCCAGGGCAGTGCCTGTGGCTCACCTAAAAAAAACCCCTCAGCACAGCACTGAGCTCTGTGTATCAGGGGAGGGGAGAGGAGGGGAGGGGAGGGGAGGGGAGGGGAGGGGAGGGGAGGGGAGGGAGCACGTCTGGCAAAGGAAGTGCTGTAATAAGATTTGTTTTAGAGAAATTCAGGATTGCTGTAGTGCACTGGTTTAATACCAGTCAAGTAGATAATTTCAGTAATTGCTCACTCTTCCAAAAATGCCATGCTGAGGTGCTCAGAGGGCCCAGCTGCAGTCAGACCAGAGCATCCCCCTACTCTATCTGGATTTCTTCCTAATTCAGTAGAACTGAGGGCTCTTTTTGTGTAGGCACAAGTAGATTCATGCCAGCACGTGAGTCCCATGCGCTGTGGGTTTGTCAGCCAGAGGTTGGGCACAGTCCTAACCCCTCTGGATCAGTTCCAGGCATTGTCCCAGACCTACCTTGACTCAGCTGTCTTATCATGGTGGGTGTGGGGTCTGGTTTGCCTTCAATCTTTTCCTGGCGCATGCAAATCCAGGTTACCTGGACATATAAATCAAGTTCATTGTCATGCTAGCTGAACACCTTATAAAGGTACGTTAATCAAGAAAGAATAATGAGATTTCAAATTCCCCTAAGTTGTAAATAAGGACAAAGCGCTCAAGCAAAATATCCCTCATTCTAAATGGGTCTTTACTTCTAAGTCTTCTGCATCCACAAAACAGGGTTAAGTCAACACTGAGACAAAGAGATGAAAAAAGTTAAGTACTCCTCAGGAAGATGAATCTCTGTTTTACCCTCTCGTCTTATTCCCTTCAAAGACATTCATATCATCATCCTGTGAAACAATCTGAATAAGTCCCTGGAACGCAAGACATTTGTTTGAGATTCTCTGACTTGCTGATTTTTCTGTCTTTCTCTGTCTACAGTGAATCTTGCTGAACAGGTTGAACCAAAATGATCTTCTTGCAAACATTCTGCAAATAGATCAATGCCTTATTCTGTATCAAACATCCTACCTAGAGCCCATTTAATAAATGGGATGTCTTTGCTATGAAATTACAAACCAGAACTTCATGTGGCATCATACCCATATAGATTTGAAATAATTTCACTCTCAGCAGAGTTTTCAGCTTTGCAATAAGAGCAGTATAAATAGCCACAGTCTCTGAGCATTGCAAAGAACAGGGATTAAAGTCAGCAGCCACACTGCAGTCTTTGGCCTTTGAAGACTGTCTGGAGCAGACTACAGAAGGTGCAGGGTACCTGGGGCTCCCATTCAACTGTAATGGGGTTGTGGATGCCTTGTATTTCTTGATAATCTCTCTGGAGGGATATGAACAAGAAACAGATGTGTAGAAACCTGCAAGACACTTTTGAATAACAGAAGCTCTCTTGCAGAGAGGACAAGGCTGGTTCAAGACCACAGCTTCTGCTCCTGCATGGAGCAAAGTTCCCTCCTTGCTCCATGTTGTCCCAGTGGAGCATAGCTTGCCACCAGCTCACCTGCTCAAAGGAAACTTCACACCACAGGGTTTGCTGGGTAAACAACGATTCACCCCTGAGATATCAGCACTGGAGAGAAATAGAGGAAGAGATGCAATGAGGGCTCCTCACCTCATGTGGCTCACCTCAAAAAGGTGTTTGTGTATTTGGTGTTTTTAAAGCTGACAGAGAGAGCAGGCTAAATTATGTACAAAGAAGAAATTCTTCCCAGTGAGGCTTGTGATGTCCTGGCATGGATTGCCCAGAGAAGCTGTGGCTGCCCCATCCCTGGAAGTATCCCAGGATACTTGGATACTTGGATGGGGCTTGGATGGGGCTTGGATGGGGCTTGGAGCAACCTGATCTGATGGAAGGTGTCCGTACCCATGGCAGGGGGTTGGAACTGGATGAGTGTTAAGGTCCCTCCCTGCCCAAGCCATTTTAATGAGTCTGTTTGGAAGAGTGACACATGTAAGATGCTGAAATAAATTCAGGTACCCCAGAGAGTCATCTGAATTGTGCTAGAGATATACAGCTCAGTCAGAGCCAGAGGAAACCATGAAGGCTGAGAGCGACCCTGTTGTGTCAGATGGCTGCTCACTTTCTCAGGCTGAGTTGTGCTCACTCCAGAGCCAGAACTCCCACGGCCAGGAGAAGGCTCTGAACAACATACCTGGCATCAGATGGGCCGTGGGGTGGGTCACGCTCTTTCTGGGAAGGGACTGTCACCTTCATTGGTCTTATCTGGTAATTGCTCTGAAAAGAAGCATTTTGTGAGCCTGAACAAAAACACTGGGGAGCGCTCAGCAGCGAATTCTTTCACATGCTGCCTTTTTGTTTTGTATGATTTCCAACGTTTCTGGCAAAAAACATTTCCTCTGACTGTTTTCCTTCTAGAAACAGCCTTCTTCCAGACAGGGTTTCTCTGCCACTATTTAGCTGGGTAGACACAGGGCTATTTAAAACACAGAGCTGGAACATTAGCAAAGCACTTGTCTCATTCCAGGACAAGCAGGGAAGGGGAGGGTGCACATCGCTGAGTGCAACCTTGTTCGTCCCTGGGAGGTTTGTGCCTGCATCATGCCGATTGTGTTGAATTTAAGGTTTCTGGGGATGAAGTCTGTGGCAAAATCTGATGAGATTTTTTAGAAGCTACTAGTTCACAGCCTTGAGTATGATTTTTGGCTGCCAGGTCTCACATACATTGCGGTCAGATGTTTAATTATTTACCAGCAGCAACCATCAAATCTGACATTTTGATAATGTGAGGGTAATTGGGTAATTTTTTTTTCTTTCCCTCCCACCAGCTCCAACCCCCTATTCTGCTGGGAGATGCAGAGTCATAGCTCTGCTGGCTTGGCTTCCCGCCATCTCACTGCTCCTTTAAAACCCCATACCTCCCATTGAAGGAACTCAGTGTCCTGTTCACCAGGAGGACGTCAATGTTTCTATGGAAACTCTTCCCAAAGATTCTTGCTCCGCGCTGCCACTGCTGCGTATTGTATGACTGGCTTTGTACACTGCAGTTCATTATCCAGGCTGTGACGAAAAGGGAGCAGCTTTCTGCCCAACAGGAAAAAGCATTAAAGGAAAAAAAAAGACCCAAAACACTAACCCCCCCTGCTCCACCACCTTAATATTAATCAAATAAGCCACTAAAACCAAAGGTGCTTAAATCGTTTGGCATTTGAGTTATGATTAGAATCTGCTTGCCTATGTTCCTTGCAGTGAAAAATACCCTTTCCTGAATAATTAACTTAGCTGAAGAAGCTTATAAATTCTTTGCAAGGTCCTTTTTCCTTCCGAGTAGAAGGAGTGAGAAGAAAATTTTCCACCCCTCACAACTGCAATCCTGATGATGGATGAGTGTCACATAGGTAGCAAATGTGCCTGAGCAGGAACCCTCTGCATGAACCGTATGGAGAACAGGGGAGGCTCAAACTCAGGCTCAGATTTTGCATTTGAATTAATATTTGCAAAGGGGATGCAGAATTAACAGGCTGAAGGAAAATTCACATTAATTTCTCATTTGCCTCAATAACAGGAAATATCTGGGACCAGCAGAGAACATGATGACAAGGGACATGTTTATGGACATGTCCCTTACTAATGATGTCCAAAGGTGGCCCAATTACTCACCCCTCTGCAGATGAGCGCCAGGTATTACACACTTGACAGGTAAAATGGTATAGATTTTGTTCCCACCTCTATCACAGATTTGCTGTTATTTTGTATTCAGACATCACTGTTAACTTTGAAAATCTGAATTTCTAGGTGGTGCACTGAAGAACCTTGGAATCTGATTTTCTTGACTTCCACTGGATCACTGATGGGCTCTCGGCACCTCAAGCAATCAGATTTCTGGTGTCCCAAAGCATGTACCTCAAACCCAAGGTACTCAACTTGTGACACTTGGAGAAAGATAACTCCTTAACCCGGCAGAACTTTGAGATCTGAAGAAAAACATTACTCATCTGCTATGCTGGGAACCAGCACTGAGTAAAAACCTGAGTAAAGATGAGGATGAGAGGAGACAAGTATTTTATTTTTAAACCTTATGAATTCCTGAGTAGTTCTGCTTTCCTAGAGAGGAAGGCAGGGTTGGGAAGATCAGATTTTCAAACTCTACTCCCTCCCTGATAGCACACTAAAGACTTGTATTACCTTTAATTGATGTTTCTGAGTGCATCCTCATTGATTTACTCCAGCCGTGCTCTTTATGCAGGGAACATTCTATTCTCAGAGCATAATCTAGACCCATACGAATAATATAGATGTTTCCTGATAACATAATTTAGAAAGAGGAGATGTAATTGCTGCCTGTGCTGAATGCACAGCATCTTTCTGCTTGCCAGAGCACTGCAAACTCATGATCCCTTTTGGAATCCATACAGGGAGAAAAGTCCCAAATCCTTCAATGTGGTTCTCATTTTGTCATTTCCATCTTATTAAATATGCTCTTCCTTGTGCCTTTGATTTTAACTTCCTAAGGATAGCTCATGCTGAAATTATTTAGAAGGCTCTCAGAGGCTTTTAGATTAAATTCAGGGATCATTCCTGCAGAAATGTGTCTGTTTGTGGGACACAGGACAGCAGCAACTTGGGTATCTGTGCGGAAAAATGGGGAAGGGACCCAGCAAGTTCCTCCTCAGGTAACTTGTTCTTTTAAGAAGTGCAACAAAGCAGGTTCTTGCTAAGGACTTCCCTTAAATACTTGAAGAGGAGGTTGGAACTCATCTAACCTGCTCCAAAACCATTTGGCTTGGCTGTGCATAGTCCAATTGCTGTGATTTAAAATGAGTGGTTGCAGTGCTTTTGTCTTCTGAATCATCCCACAAGCACCGTGCTTTACTGTCTTCTCTCTGATGGAAGAATATCCAGGGTGGGACATTACAATTCAAATTTTCATCTCTAGGGTCAAATCTGTCTCAGTTCTGTAACACCTGGAAAGCACTGCCATGCAGAGGGGTTTGATGTGAAATAAGCGCAGGTCCCTCCACAGCACAGTCAATCGAGATCCACAGCACAGAAAAATCATCACTCTAATTGCTCTCTGTATCAGCTGCCTCAGGAAAATATAAAATAAAATCATAAATAAATAAAAATCAATGACTGAATTGGCCCTAGAGACTGAGTTACTCTCCTCTGTTTTAGAGAGTGGTCCCTCCTGAGCAGTTTTCCACATAGCAAAGCCACCGCATAATGGAACAATTCAGTTCCACTGACAGCCCTGGCTAAAATAGCCCTAGAGCAAGATAGGGAAGGTGTAGGTAACTGCTAAGATGCTTGGGAGGGCTGACAGTGAGAACCATGCCAACACTAAGAGTTTTTCAAATTACTTCAGCAAGACCAGACTTAGCTTGCAAGCCTGGTGTGATTGTGTCAGAGAGAAGCCGTTTTGTACTTTGGATTCATGCTAATTGGATATCAGCTTCTCCCTGTGTTCTGCAGCAGCAGCTTCCCTGGTGATCATCCATTAATGGTCAGGTACAGGTTGGCTCTGGAATCCATTGTCAGAGGAGAGGGCTCAATTCTCCAGCTTGTTTCTTTCCTGGGATCTGACAGAGCCTGAATTTAATTTGCCCTGCGATCCTGGCTAAAGTCCCTCTACACATAAAAATCATGTAGTGCTTTAAACTCTTTAAGTATGGCCCTCAATAGGTCTTAATAACAAGAAATACCCATTACACCTATTTCTCGTTATCTGATTGGACATGAAGGGAGCAGGAGTTGAGTTCAGCAACCACTGGGATTAAGAACAAGGAGAACCACCTTTATGGAAAATAACAGCTCAAACACGTTGTGAGCAAGCAGAAAACACAATCAAAGAGGGACCAGTTGATAAAAAAGATGGTAAATATCACTGGTATTTAGCATTAATCTTTTTGTCTTTGTCTTGCTATGCATCCTCCCAAATCTCATATCTGGTGAAAATGGACAACCCAAAGGGTTTGGCTTATAATCAGTTCAGGTTAATTCTGCAGAATGAACATGGGTGAGACTAAACTATATAGCTCATGACATAACAACATTATTCACGATAAGAAGCCAAACAGAAGTTCAATTTGTTCCAAAAAGCACCATTTCTAAGGCAGAAGAGCAGCCAAATCAATGACTGAGAGGAACTAGAGGTGAAAATTGAGAAAAAGAGATATAAATACATTTACTTTTAAACATTTTAATTTCAAGTGACAGAAAAACCATTCAATGTGTGTCCTGGGGTTTCTTTAAACAGGGAAAGAAGATTAAAATACTAATCCCTGCTGATTTCCCTGTGCAGCAGCAAAAATGAGCATGGCTCAAAAGACTGACCTGTGATCAAAGATTAACAGCAGCAAAATTTGTATAGCTTGGCTAAGCAGCAACCATGAGTGACACACTGGCAGAGTGCAAAACCAGAGAAAATGGAGTATTACTTGGAAAGACAACAGTATCAGTGGATGAAAACTAAAGAAAGATCAGGCAGAATGGTAGTCTCTATTTTAAGGAATGAAAGCCAGAACACTCCAAGTATACAAGGACGAGGATGAACTAGACACTGGTGTGAGGATCTTTGGATGCGACCAGTGACTTTAAGCACTTCTATTCCTGAGTTTCCAAAGAAAATCACCTTTAGAAATGGGACAGCTCATACTATAAATCATTTCTTCTTAAGCTCAGCACCCAGCAGCCACCAATCAGTTCTTAAAATCTTGAGTGAAAAATAAACCACAAGGAACAATCTTGTTCTCTGAGGGAATGGACAAGCTAATCTAATATATCTTTGTCATCTGTGGTTTCCATGACAGTTGCATAATCAGACATTTATGTAAGTAGAGGTTTCCTCCTTAAATAGCAGCCTATGATCTCATCTGCACCTACGGTATAACCCATTTGAATGGAAACGATGTGCCAGTCATGTGTACAACTAATTTTTTAATGCTTCTCTCTTATTTTTGTTTCTTTATTGTGGAACATAAGCCTGCAGAGTACTGCTCACACATGACTAACTCTTCTTGTTGTGGTCTTCTCGTGGTTTAGAAATAACTACAGTCCCCAGGTCCAATTAATGGCTGGGCTCACACTTGCTCAGCAATTCAATGTGGAAAGTGATGGTGTATTGACAAATCCCAGTGCAGTACCTAAGCCTTGTGATGGTGTATCCACAAACCCCAGCGCAGCCTCCTAGAAACACAGAAGGGTTTGGATTGGAAGGGACCTTGAAAACCATCCAGTTCCAAACCCAGAGGTAGGAACACCTTCCACCAGACCAGGTTCCTCAGAGCCACATTCAACCTGGCTTGGAACATTTCCGGGGATGGGACAGCCACACCTCCTCTGGGCAACCTGTGCCAAGGCCCCACCACCCTCACAGGGAAAAATTTCTTTCTGATATCTAAACTAAACCTTCCCTGTGTCAGTTAGAAGTCATTCTCCCTTGTTCTGCCACTCCAGGCCCTTGTCCATAGTCCCTCTCCAGGTCTCTGACACTGGAAGGGGTTCTAAGGTCTCCCCAGAGCCTTCGCTTTTCCACTCTGAACACCGCCAGCTCTCCCAGCCTGGCCCCAGAGGAGAGGGGCTCCAGACCTGATCATATCTGTGGCCTCCTTTGGATCTGCTTCAGCAGGTCCACAACCTCCTTATGGTGGGGACCCCAGGGACAAAGTATTTTGGGTGGGTGATTCAACAGAGTCACCTTCCTTGACCTGCTGGTGAAGCTTCTTGTGATGCACCCAGGACGTGGTTGGCTTTTGGGGCTGCCAGTGCACATTTAGGGTCATGTCCAGCAGCCCAAGTCCTTCTCACAGCTGCTCTCACAGCAGCTCTCTTCAAGCTGCTCAAACCTAGAGGTTATGGGATGCCCTCAGACCCTGTTGCAGATTTTCCAGGAAGCTGGGATTTCCAAGCCATATTTTTCCCCAAAGGGCTGGGGTGAGGACCACAGGAGAACTCCAGGGATTTGTCTTGGACAATCTGGGGTTTATCAGGGTTGGAGGAAAGCTCCCAGGACCACTCTACTCCTGCTGCAGAGACTGCCTGGGGACTCCTCTGAACTCATGCAGAGTATCCTAAAGCAATGCAAAAAATGCAGATCTCTTCTTATATGCCATGTTAATTGAAATTAAGAAAAGCAGACCCAGTCCATGAAATCTCACTCCTACTCCCATCTAAGTTCATGTAACAGGAGTGAAGGCAAGCAAAAGTAACTGCACTTAAATCTGCATGCAGAAATTCTCAGAAACATCTAAAAAAAAAAAAATCAGCTACCTAGAAGGAGTGACTTTTATCTAAAGGCTGCAGACATCAGCAGGCTAGGGAGCTGATTCCAGTAGGCAAATAGTTCTTAATATGGATGTCCAGGGGTATCAGAAACTCTTCAAAATCTGTCCAGAAGCTGAGAAGTGAGTTGATCCTGAAATGTAAGTGGTTCCATTTAGACCATCTTCTTAGTGCTTTTTTGCATCACTCTGCATCAGCCACTGTGCACAAAAATATGCCCCGAAGAAGAGGAGAACAGGCAAGAACAGAAACCTAATCCAATCTGCCAGCCTTCGCAGCACCAAATTTGTGGGACTCTTTCCAGCCTTTGGATGTTGTAGCACCTTCTCTCAAAGATATCACTATTAAAACAACAAGTATCTTGTGCACTATTGTTTCCAACATCAAACAATCAGCAAAAATATCTCCTCTTGCTCTTCAGCCTGATCTCGCTTCTCCCACTGAAGCTGATTTAATGACAAAGATAGAGAGAAATAGAGTGGATTGGGGTTTACGAGTGATTGTCAATTGGATTTTGTGAGCCCAGTGGTATCTCGGAGTAGGTTACAATTTTCCCTGAACCCCCTGCAGCTCCTATTAGCCTCAATAATTGCTCCTAATTTTGGCTAGGATGTTTGCTCAGATTTTTGAAAGAGGGGGGTGTCTTTCCCTGGTGCAGAGAGACTCCTGCCTCCATACAGCAAACATGGGCTTGGTAATCGTTTAATTACAGCAAGAATTCCTGCCCTGTCCAACCAGGCTCTGACACACGTTACGTAACTGGATTGTTAATGCTTTTTATATGTTGGTGGAACTGAAATTAAATGAGGAAATTATTCTCCTGATGCTCAACTCTAATCCCCATCTGTCTGTGTTTTTACTTTTCTGCACTTGCAAAGCTCCCTGATCAAAAGGTCTTGAATAGATTCCAGATTTCCAATTTAGTTCGCTTATGTAACCCAAAATATTATGGCAGTCTTTCCTTGGGGGCGATTAAGCATATATTTTCAGATCCTCCAATTCTCTCTGTTCCAAACGTGCTAAAAGTGGCATAAAGCTTTAGCTCATTCCATACCATTAGCACCACAAACATTTCTTTTAAGACTTTTTTAGGAAGATAGGAATAGCCAAGAGCTTTACAGGGAAGGAATATATTCTGAAAAAAAAAAAAAGGGAGGGGACTTGTTCAATGTCCACTATGCCTGAGTGAAAGCAAGCAGAGAGTCTGT